TAAACATTTAGATAAACTAATTTTTGTTATACAATATATTTCGATGTACTTTGTCTTCTTCATTTAGGTACATTAAATTCTATATAATACATTTCAATGCATACATTTAGGTACACATATTTCGATATAAACATTTAGGTACATTAATTCAATATAATACATTTCGGTGCATACATTTCAGTACACACATTTAGGTACATTAATTTAATATAATACATTTCGGTGCATATATTTCAATACATACATTTTGGTACTAACATTTAAATACATTAGTTCGATATAATACATTTTTTATACATACATTTAGGTACATTAATTGAGTCTTTTAAATTTGAAGAATGTAAATAAAATTAATAAATTAAAAAAAAAACTTTTTTTGGTCAAAAAATAAATTAAAATTTGTATATTATAATTTAAATATTTAATGGAAGACATTACATAAAATGCACATTAATTATTTTGAATTAAGGACACATCAATGGACTATATTCAATATGTAATTTAACATCAAATTTATTTTAAATTTTAATATTCTTGAAGAATTAAAGTTAAAAAACCCCTTAAATAATTATATAGAAATTTAATGTGTCGAACAATTAAATCCTTTACGAGATTGATCTACGATGTTAACCACATAAATTTACCCATCGGGTAGCCTTTGAGCCACAGGCCCACAAGCTAGGGTTTCATGAACTAAGTTAGTAATTTTCTTTAATTATTCCGCATAATTAAATACCTTTCATAGAAGCAAGAAAGTCTTGTTTAGAAATGGTGATCTGTTGTAGTTTCCTGCCCATAACATCTTCCCACATTTCAACCAATTCTTTATGAGTGACTACGTTCTCAGGTGGACGAATGTACAATGTTTTGTTCAATGTTCGCAGATCATCTATAGTCTTAATCAGTGTATGTTGCGATGTCATCTTCATCCACAATAGTCACTACACAATAAATGGAAATCATCAACGAAGGCGATTAGTTCTACGTCGTTTAAAATTAAACCAAAACCATATAGATATGTAGAAACTTATATGATATATTATAGTTTGAGCGTTTTCCTGATTGTAAACTTAATTAATATGTCACCTTTGTGTTACCATCTCCATAGATAAGCACTTTTTCCTTTGGAGGAAGGACTGTCCCCAGCTGCGCAAGGTTGCCACCAAAATAACCCGCAAAGGCGAAACCACATACATAAGTGAAGGGGATTTTAGCATCTTGTATCGCCTTTCTCACAACCATTTTATCATCAAATGTAACTCTTCCTGGTTCAATTGCATGTCCCATGCGTGCTGGGTCGAGACCGAACTCTGATGGTAAGAAACGCTGCACACACACACACACACACACACACACACACACACAAAAAAAGCAAGGGAAGAAAAACAGAGAAAACTACAATGAGGTCATAATTATTCTGTGTTCAATTTTCAAAAATTGAAGGGTACAAAAACTAAAAACTTAGTTGAAATAGTTATCAAACATACTCTAAATTTCAAAATATCACCATTTTTTGCACAAAGTGGACGGAAATATTACTAGTCCATAACTAGCGAATTAGTGGCATACGTACCTTAATATTCCCGGCTTCTTTGATAGCTTCAACAAGCTTGAGCTGCAACAAAATGTTGTGACTCCGAATATGCGCCCCAGACATGGTGCAAATGACAACATCGACAAGCTTGACGGCACGAACAAGGCTTTGGAAATCAGAAAATGAACCCTCCACGAGGTGAGCCCCTTCCTTCTTGAAGGACAGAGCATCTGCAACTTCTCAATATCAAGGCCGATCTCTGGCCTTTGAAGGACATATGTTGGGTGACCTACGGCAAGGCTTGCCCTAACAACCCTTCTTCCTACGAACCCAGTACCACCTACCACAAGAACTTTGCTCATTCCCATGCCAACTAAATACTACTTCTGTTTGCCTCTTGGTTTGTTTTTCTTGCAAATATTAAGGGAAGAGTAGCTCTATATATAGTAGTTGAACCCATGGAGCTAGACTGAACAACAATGAGTCTGACAAATTGTAGGTCCTAATTTCAACTGGGAAAGGGATCCCTCTCCGGATCCTTCCTCTAATCCAAAAGATCAAGGAATCTAGGTTATTAAAATTTAATCCAACGGTTACAAATAGGAGCTCATTTTAAAAGTTGAAATAATTTTAACCTATTAAATCAAATTTCAATAGTTTAAATCATCTGATTTGGTGAATTAAAAAAAAAGATCCGAAAAGGATCCATTTGCTTTCAACTAGGTAGTTGGTTAGGTCGTAAAACTCCAAGGACATTTAGGATAAAACTTAAATTTCATTAAAATATTATGTTATTTTATCATTTAATTTATATAATTTTGTTTAAAATTTTGATTTTCCTCAAATTATCCTATATATATAGACCTAGGGTATCTGTATTTGCTGACCTATGGGAAATTAGATTTTGATACATATACATGTTTTCGTTGAAGGAGAAGATTCTCTCATCTCCTAATTTTTCTCATATTTTCTTCCCTCCTAATTTGAATAGTTACGGTTTAGCCACATCAACATCTTATATTGATTTTTTTATAGAGACAAAAGACAAAAAATAATATGTGAGAGTAGGAAAGGGAAGGAGATGAGAATAAGAGGGGAGAGAATCCTACTCCATTATTAATTACTTTTTTGGCGAACTTTTGTATTATGATATTATTGTATGGATTTGGATCCTCTCCTTAGTAGAGAGTTCGTGTCCTCCTCATCAAATAACACGGGCCTTTGGATTTTGATCCAACGGTTACAAATAGGAAGTTCTACTAAAAATTACAATAATTGTAACCATTGGATTAAAATCCAATAATCCGTATTATTTGATGAGTAGGACTCGGACCCTCTGCTCGGATCCAAATCCTTATTGTATTAGGTACTCAATCAAATCAAGTGTCTTATTAATTACTTTTTTGGCAAACTTTTGTATTACGATATTATTGTATTGGACAAGGATTGTCTGTCCTCGTGTGTCCTTGTGTTTTGTGTGGTCACGGTTAAATTACGTTAACATTTTATATTATTTTTTTTATAGAGCTAATAAGACAAAAATGAATATTAATATCAAATGTTGACATGGCTTAACCGTGACCACACAAACAGAAGAGCACGGAAGGGCACCGAAAGTGGAAAGACAGCCAATCTTTGTCCTATTGTATTAGGTACTCAATCAAATCATGTGTATTATTAATTACTTTTTTAAGGGAGAATGATCTACTATTGTGTTGCTAATGAGAAAGGAGACGTTGAGGATTCATCGGAAGAGTTTTCCTTCCCATTCAAGGGTAGTGAGGTAGAAGGGTTGAAGCAAAAGTTGAAGGAAGAAGCCGGATTAGAGGAAATTGTTGTGTGTTCACGCAATCTCTGATTGGAAAACTTTATCCCCTTCGCTTTCATCTTCTGCCAAACAACCACTATATGCATATCGTTGTTGCTCCGTCATCGTCCAAAGGTTAGAATTGTTTCAAGGGGTTATCATGTTTTCGTCTTGGTAATTCTAAAATGTTTGATGTCTGATTCCAAAAAACTTACTGGAACAAAAGTATTTCGTACCAAATTTGTCAATCACATTGTTAAACACCTCTATCACAGATGTGCAATTTACACAGAACCAACCTATATAAGTGCGTTTCACCTCTGTGAGAGACGTGATCGGTGAATGTGATACATGCGTGTTTCTTAGGGGATACATATATAACGAAAATGTATGTTTATTCCTTGTTTCGTTTTATACTTGTGGTTTAACTATGATTGTCTTCTGCCCTTCAGCAGGAAGTGAGTCTTGACTGATTTGCAAAACCTGTTTAACAACATCAGATACCTTCTTGTTCATATTCTGTACATTCAGCTCCAAACCTGCTCAAATTTGCGAGTATAGATAGGAAAGGAAGTAGCACATCGTGCAGAAGAAGCAAGGAAACCCCTTCGCTTACAGAGGCAGATTGTCTTCCTGTTACCGTGTCTTTCTTATTCTCTCCTATTAATACGATCACGATTAAACCATGTCAACATTTTATATTCTTATTACTTTTTATCTTATTATCTTTATAAAAAATTTAATATAAAATATTAACGTGATTTAACCGTGATCTCATAAATAAAATAAAATGAGCATGACACGGTAACCGAAATGCAGACAATCTGCCTGCATTGATAATACCCCTGATTTGATAGAGTGCCTAATACAATAATCTCATAATACAAAAGTTCACCAAAAAAGTAATTAATAATACACCTGATTTGATTGGAGCTCCAGAGCTCTAGATTGATCAAAATCCGTTGGGTTCTGCCACATTCCACGTATCTTAGTCTTTTTCAAAAATTATTTAATGCGTACGAAGTATGGATCGAAGCATTTCGTGTCATAACCAGTGAAAATTATAAATAAATAAAAAAATTCATCAATTTATATTATAAAACGTTAAAACTCACATTAAGAAGTTGACAACTCAAAAGCACCCAATACAAATAATAATATTTACAATTATTTCAACTTGTTATCAATACATTAACGATAATATTGATAAAAACATATAATATAATTGAATTTCCGACGTATTTTAATATGTTATCAATTCAAAACCACGCCAAGGTGAATCTCATAGGCACTCCTCTTGTATATTCGATTTTACAGTACGCCACTGCAACCGTTTGCTACGGAGAAGCAAAACATGGTAAGGTGGGATGACGTGGCACGAGTCAATTAGAAAGAGCGTGAATTGACGATTTCATCCCTGGATTTAATCGGAGTCAAAAGGTCCTCGAACCATTTTCCACTATACTTCAAGGTACCATTTGGTACGTAAGACAGGACGGAACGGAGTGGAACGACACGTTCCGTCCCACGTTTGGTGCACCTAAAACGGGTGGATTGCATTGTTCAACGGGACAAGTTTTGGATGAATTTTCGTTCTACCTCATCCCCTGGAACGACTCGTTCCGCATCCGTAGAATACAAAATTATAACATTTTAAGACAAAAATGCCCCTCTCCCATTGTCTATTTCCTCAGATCTCAACCTCTTCGTCTCCTTTTTCTTCCTCCTCCCTTCCATCTGAGCCCTAGTTTTCCACGACATCTCTCAATATTCAAAAAAATGGGGAAGCCATCCAAAGGCAAGAAATCTGATAATTTGGGGAAGGGAATGGTCACCCCCATACAAATCGCCTTCATTGTCGACCGATACCTCTGCGACAACAACTACTTGGTAACCTGCTTTCTTTTCAGAACTGAAGCTTCGTCCCTCATTGCCAAATCGGCGATTTAAGAGGTACCTACTTGATTTTTCCCGACGATTTGTTTGAAATCGATCTGAAAGATTTCTTATTTGTCTGATTTGAGATTTGAGTTTTTCTGTTTTTTGCAGGCTCTGAAGAGTTTGCTGAGCGTGATGAACACTTACAATGCTGGCGGAAGCCCCGCAATCTCTGCACCTCCGGATGTGGCTTTGAAGTCGATGCTTATGGCTACTCTGTGCTCACCTGTCTAATGGATTCGCTACAGGTACAATCCTAAGCCTCCCCGTCTGGTTGTTTGCTTTTTGTTTGAAAAAATTGCCTAAATGAATTGAGAAATCTTGTGGAAGTTGCATGTTTAGTGAGCTTATATGCTTCAACTTGAACTCGTAGACTTTACATTTTTTTGCCTTAACTAGTTATTTAAACCATTGATGGCTACAATATACAATTGCAGGTAATATCTTATTGTTTTTGTTTGTGTTTGAGAAATTTGTTGCATTCATTGAGAATAGAATGAAAGTTGTATGTGACTTTTGAGAGCTTAGATGCTTTAACTATCTAACTGTTTCTGGGAATGACTATTAGGCTGACATGGTACTGGAATTCCTGCAGAAGATTTCAAATCGTGTTAACAACTCAACAACTTAAAAGTTGATGTATCATTAGATAACACATAGTGCACTGCTATTTTATTAGCTCGAGTGATAGGAATTGTATTATTTAGCATTACACAGTGGGTTTAGTATGGATGTTGAAGTGATTGATGTCGAAGGAATGGTGCATCGTGGAATGGTGGAGAAATGATTGGCTTTAATCATTATACAATACTCGTGCTCAATGGGTACCTGTGTATTTCTGGGATTCCTTTTTTGATGCTATATCTCCCAATCAAAAGTACGATGGCTTCTTTTTTGAAGGCTATGTGAATTAACATACCACATTACCATTGTTCTTTAGGCAATATGAAAGAGCTTTGGAGAACTGGTTTGAAAGGGAAATGGAACCAGACTTTTCTGATTGTGATTTGTGTAGTTTTTCTATTTTATTATTACTTACCAATACTCTTTGCTTTTCATTTTATAGGTCTCCATGTATGTTGTTGCAACACATTAGGTCTGTTGGGATTGTAGGGATATTAGTTAGTTGGTTAGTAGCTTATGAGTGAAGCAAAGAATATTTGTATAAATAACAAAAACCTCTTTCTGTAATTCATTTACTGTTCAAGGAATACAATCTTTAGTCATTCACTTTGTCTCTCTAAATTATCTGCCATTGTTTTTCGTCCTGCTTTTTCTGCAGTCTCCAAAAGCTAATCATGGTATTGTTATGTGTTCAAATATGAACAAGTTCAAAAAAAAAAAAATGTCCCGTCCCATCCCGTCCCATGCATAAACATTGTACCAAACAACAGATAGAACAGGGGTAAGTTAGTCATTCAATCTTTTGGTTCCATTCCGTCTAATGTGTACCAAACACAAAACGAAACAACCGTCCTGTTCCGTCTTGCGTGTACCAAACATAACACATAACCTCTGTTCTGTCCCGTCCCGTCCCATTCCGTTTCGTCCAGTCTCGTCTGCGTACCAAATGGTACCCAAAGGTTTCGATCCAATCTAAACCACCAATTTTCTCTCGGCTAATGCTAACGAGACTAAATTTGTAGATAAAATTTACAAAGTAAATGACGTGTCATTAATATGAATAAGAACATTTATCAACACTTAAGTCATAATTCAATCATCCACTTTCATGGCATTTAGTTTACAAATTTTATCTATAAATTTAGTCTCTACATAAATCAACATTGAAATCATAATGCAATCATCAACTTTCATGTCAATTAGTTTACGCCACTGAATACTATGGTTTGGTGGTATTCCTCTCCACTTGGAAAGTGAAAGATTTTAGGTTCGAATCTCGTAGATGACGAATTCGATATCTTGTAGATGACGAATTCGATACCAAATTAGGCTGCCAATTGTGTAGTTTATCTGAACTCCTTTCCCTTTATGTAAAAATATCGATGTACTCAAAACAAAAACATATTATTTAGTTTATAAATTTTGTTTCACTAACATTATCCTATCGCAAAATTTTATTTTTAATAAACGATATTATTTACACTATTTACACGGAGAAGGGGTGGGCTTAGCCTCAGCAATAATATGGTTCAAATTCATCTTTGACGAGCATCAAATATAAGATGTCTCACTTACATATGAAGAGAAATACTATTAAACCGTCGTGCATCGTATCGAAAACTTTAAAGCTATTCGATTTAACCGTCTATCAGTTTGAGTTGTAGGGACGTCCTTGCTTCGCCCCCTACTCGTGCATGCATACTTTCTGTTGGCAATTTCTTAAACACGTAGAAGCGCATGAGCCAACTCCTCTATACTACACAGGCATGGAGCCGCTGCATGTATTTAGCACAACGCTGCACCAGCATGTTCAATCTCCGAGCCACCCACGCCGTCTTCGTCACCTCCGGCGTCCACCTCAACACCTACGCCGTCAGCAAACTCATCGCCTTCTGCGCATTATCGGACTCCGGCAACCTCCCGTACGCGTCTCTTCTCTTCGAACAAACCCAGACCCCCAATTTGTACATATACAACACTCTCATTAGAGCATATTATCGTAGTTCTGAGCCGCATTTGGCGATGTATTACTTCCATTTGATGTTAAAACAGAGCGGCTTAGAACCCGATAACTATACGTTTAATTTTGTGATACTGGGTTGCGTGAATTGTTCTTGTCTAGTTTCGGGGACGGAAATTCACAGTTGGGTGGTGAAAAATGGGTTGGTTTTGTTGGATGCTCATATTCAGACGGCGCTTGTTAGATTGTACGCTGAGTGCAAGGTTTTAGATGATGCCCGGAAGCTGTTTGATGAAATTCATCAGAGAGATGTTATACAGTGGAATGTTCTTGTGAATGGGTATTTGAAATGTGGATTGGCTTCCGAAGCTCTGGAGGTTTTCCGGGAGATGTTGGTATGTGGGTTTGAGCCTGATGACTTTTGTGTTGCTACAGGGCTCGCGGCTTGTGCTAATCTGGGGGCTCTTTGGCAAGGGAGGTGGATTCATGAGTGCGTTAAAAGGAGGAAAGAGTTGAAGTCAGACGTGTTTGTTGGGACTGCGCTCGTAGATATGTATGCCAAGTGTGGTTGTATTAATTTGGCTGTGGAAACCTTTGAGAGAATGTCAAAAAGAAATGCAGTCTCGTGGGCAGCCATGATTGGAGGTTTTGCAGCACACGGATATGCAACTGAAGTGTTTCATTGCTTGGATAGAATGCAGGTGGTGGATGGCCTCAGGCCTGATGAGGTGGTCCTTCTTGGAGTGCTAATGGCTTGTACTCATGCAGGTCTCCTCGAGAAGGGCAAGTCTCTGCTCGAAAACATGAAAACTCAATATGGGATTGTGCCAAAACATGAGCATTATAGCTGTGTTATAGACTTGCTCTGCAAGGCAGGTCAGCTAGAAGAAGCACTTCTGCTTATTAGAAGAATGCCCATGAAGCCACTTGCTTCTGTCTGGGGTGCTTTACTGAGTGGGTGCCGAGTCCGTAAGAATGTTGATCTTGCAGAGCTTGCTGTTGAAGAACTTCTACAGCTAGAAAATAAGGACAGCGAAGAAGAAGCTGGTGCTTATGTTCAGTTATCAAACATTTATTTGGGTGCACGGAGAAGTGAAGATGCAGTTAGGATAAGGAAGATGATCGGTGAACGAGGAACGAATAAGACACCAGGATGCAGTATGATAGAGGTGGATGGAAAAGTTAATGAGTTTATTTCAGGAGATGTATCACATTTACACCGAGCACAGATAGGTGCTATGCTGGAGCTGATATCTGCTGACTTAATTCAGGATTGAAGGGTCTGCATACCTATTGTTAACACGTCTGGTCCTTCTGGATTGCGAATCATCAAGGATTATGACTTCTCGTTGCCTGTCGGTACTTGCCATAAATTGTTGCTGCTCAAATGTTCTCTTCAAAGTTTCAAGCTTTGTGAGCTTCGCTTGCCACTAGGTTATGTCTAAAGATGCATGCTGAGATTGATTGGGAAATATCCTCATCACTCTGAATGAGGCAGAAAAGGGTGCGTGAAATTCTTTCCTACGAACAGTTACATCCTGCATATCTTATTCCATGTTATTAACCCTCTAACCCACAAGCATTTGGATGAAATAATATTTATAAGTTGAAGATAAAATCTTTGCAGGATTCGGTTCTAGGATAACGAAGTTGCTGTCGATCACCACCTGCAACAAAGACTAGTATGTTGACCCAAAAAAAAGGTTGCCGGTAAATCTGCTTCCTTAGTTTTTCTTATCATGGAAACGTTAGTAGAGTTGCTAGCACCATAACACGATTTCCCGATGTCTCAGCTCCATGAATTGTATCTTGTATTTCTAATGAGATTAAAGATGAATTGGCTGCATTTGTATTCAACTTACTGATTTCAGTTATACACTTCAACCTCACATTAATTAGACTTGTTTTTTGTTCTCATACATCAAGAATATCGAAAATTGAATAGAGTAATTCCATCAGGCCCGGGTAAAAAATCTGCTAACAACGTTTCCTTGCTTCTTTTGAATGATGTGCTACTTCCTTTCCTATCTATAATCGCAAATTTGAGCAGGTTTGGAGCTGAATGTACAGAATATGAACAAGAAGGTATCTGATGTTGTTAAACGGGTTTTGCAAATCAGTCAAGACTCACTTCTTGCTGGTGAAGGGCGGAAGACAATCATAGTTAAACCACAAGTATAAAACGAAACAAGGAGGAAACATACATTTTCGTTAAATATGTATCCCCTAAGAAACACGCATGTATCACATTCACCGATCACGTCTCTCACAGAGGTGAAACGCACTTATATAGGTTGGTTTTGTGTAAATTGCACATCTGTGATAGAGGTGTTTAGCAATGTGATCAACAAATTTGGTACGAAATACTTTTGTTCCAGTAAGTTTTTTGGAATCAGACATCAAACATTTAAGAATTATCAAGACGAAAACATGAAAGCCCTTTGAAACAATTCTAACCTTTGGACGATGACGGAACTACAATGATATGCATATCGTGGTTGTTTGGCGGAAGATGTAAGCGAAGGGGATAAAGTTTTCCAGTCAGAGGATTGCGTGAACACACAACAATTTCCTCCAATCCGGCATCTTCCTTCAACTTTTGCTTCAACCCTTCTACCTCACTACCCTTGAATGGGAAGGAAAACTCTTCCAATGAATCCTCAACGTCTCCTTTCTTATTAGCAACACAATAGTAGATCATTCTCCCTGCATCTTTCTTCGGCGAATCATGATCAAATGACTCGCTTGACTGCGTTTAAGAACAAACAATAAGAAGCCAAAAATATAATTAAACTTGATAATCATAGAAGTCATATTTGTTAATTAAAACCAACCTGGTGTTTGGAAGCTCTCGGCGTCCTACGCTCAATCTTAGATGGAGATGTAGGTTCTGAAAGTGCTGAAGACTTCGAAGGCAATGCATCTGGTTGTGGAGGAGGGGGTTTCGCCACTGGGTGACGTTCTGGAGATTCAACCCGAACCTCTATAACATCTACATCCCACAGAATCCAATCCTGTTTTGCGGTTCTTTGAGGGATATCATGGGTGACAGAGTTTCTCCAAGGCGGTACGCCCCCATTTGCGCGCAAGAACTGGCCATAGGGCGTCCTGAGCCGGACCTGATATCCTTCTTTTACAGGCTCCCATTCAAGGGAAGAATCTAATCTCTTTGGCAGTGTTTGCAGAACTTTCTTGCCTCGCAATCCAAGACGGTATGGCATGCTAGAGGCTGTTAAGTACTTGCCATAACAGCTTTTGAACCGTAAAGTGTTTGCATTTTCGACAAACTCCACCATCCATTTGGCATTCTTTGCCGTGCCTTCGCGATCTTGGAAAACAGTCTCTTGATCCTCGTCTGCTAATAGATATTTTCCGTGGTGGCTCCGGAAGCGTACTGATCTGGCTTTTTTGAAGAACTCCATATATATATGTAGCTCTAGGAAACAATAAGACCGATCAAGTTCGGTGATTAAGCACACAAAAACATCAGAGAGATCGATTGAATAAAATGTACAGCGTTAATTGTCAGAAATACGGATTTTCGATTGTATTTTCGTCTTAAATTTTCAATGCGTTTTGTACCCTTGAACTAAAAAAGGGAAATGATATGAAGTAAGTTCGCGCCTTGCATTATGTGTTTGTGAAGGGGAAAGAATTGGAGGCAACGGTTGAGAGATATTGAGGAAATTGAGGAAACTATATATATCTTTTTCTATTACAAAAAAGAAGTTCTCTCAGTTGAAAAAGAATTATAAAAAGAGGAGTAACAAACATGTATGATTTTCTCCTGTACAAAATGAGGTGCGTAAAAAGCTTATCAGCGGCCAACGAGGCGGTTAAAAAGCATATTAATAGTTAAGGGGTTATGAATTGTTGATACGTTTACAACTAATGTTAGCGTTCTTTTTTGAAAGTTTAGTTGAAAGCGGTTAATCAGCAATATTAGTGAGATTTTTTATCTAAAAAAAGAATTGTAATAATGATGAAACTAGAGGCAATTTCCTTAATAGCTAATCAATTTTTGGAAATTTGTTTCAGCTAAACACAAGAACTTTGCTGAAATCCAAAATTTAATTGGAGGATTTTAGCTTCATTTAATAGAAAAAGTAACACATTATGCAAAATCCAATTGATTGGTGATAGTGCGTGCGGTGTAAAATATATATATATATATATATATATATATATTGTCAAGAAAATTGCAGAAAAAGAAAATTCCAAGCTCCTCCAATTTCGTTCTAGATCGAATGGGCACTTCGCACTTATCGATTCCAATATCGCACCTAAGAGACTGCATCCACAATAATTAGAGGAAAACAGTGGTAATAGCCAACCCACGAGTAACAGAGCCAACAAACACATAGAAGGAGTAGTGCAAACATCTGAGCTGAAACTCTACGCACTTTCCGAAAAATACGAGACAAGTCGCGTTAAAGATGAGTAGTTGCAGACATAGATTGATGTTGGACTGAGGGAGAGGAGAGGACTTTAACGAGTGAGGATGAAGAAACTGAGCCAAGTGGGAAGGGTGGACATTGGAGTGATGACTGATGAGAATCATGGTGCATGGGCCGGAAAGAAACGAATTTCAGAGTTAAGGATTTTGAAATCTAAGGCAAAAGGGAGTGGGGGAAGGGGAGATCTGAACGGAGATCAGGGAAAACGCTGAGACAAAAGCTCAGAAAGGAACCTTATAACACAAAAGCTCACAAGTGAAGGGAACGACGAGGGGATGGGTAGGGAAAAAGGCGGGTTGCCAACTTGCCACCGACCCCAAGCCAAGGGCAGGGGCCGGCGGCTTGGGAATAGTTCTGTGTATTTTGCTCTAGGGTTAGGCGAGAGAGAGAGAGAGAGAGAGAGAGAGAGAGAGAGAGAGAGAGAGAGAGAGAGAGAGAGAGAGAAGCCTGCTATTTGTTGCGTGTGTGTAAATATATAACTTATTCTATTTTGTAGATAGAAGATCATCTGATCATTCATACAAATCATGCAAGTACAACCCTAATTTTCTTGCATACATATCATATTTCCTAATTAATAACCCCAAACTCCAACGTCATGTTATGTATTTTTTTTATCCGAATCCGATACATGATCTTTGGATGAAGAAAGATCAACGCCGACTGGAGAGTCTGGCTGTGTTTGTGAAGATTCCGACCGCGAAACAGACTGTGGATCCGGTTCTGTTGGATCTTGTGTTGCAGTAGTACTATAACAACTAGCACTATCATTAACATTATCAACGTTCCTTTGTTCTTGTGGTTGTTGTTGTTCACGAATCTCCACAACTTCCACATCCCACAGAACCCAATCTCTCATCACACCTCTACACGGATTGTCGTGCGTGATCGTGTCTTTCCAAGGCGGCACGCAACACCCGCTTGCACGCAAGAATTGCCCGTTCGCCGTCTTCAGCTTCCACTTGAACCCGTCTCTTACCGGCTCCCATTCCACTATCGGATCCAACATCTTTGGCGTGGTTTGCAGGACTTTGTTGCATTTGATCCCTAGAATGAACGGCGTGCTTAACGCCGTTAAGTATTTCCCGAAACAGCTCTTCAATCGCAATGCATTTGGATTATCGCTAATTAACTCCACCGTCCACCGCGCGTTCTGCACCGTTCCCTCGCGGTTCTGCCACACCGACACTTGATCGTCATCGGCTAATAGGTATTTGTTGTGGTGGCTTCGAAATCGTACCACCTTGGCTTTTTTGAGAAAATCCATACAGTTATTGCATGCACTGATCTGAATCATTAGGCACAACGTATTAATTATATAGATAATTAGGGTTATGCATGCATGCATGATTGAGCAAAAATACGTCGGGTATATAAATTTGAATTAATTTATACCTCGAATAAAATCGGCTGCAAATTTACGCATTGCCGTCGGTGGCGGTGCTCAATGGAAGAATCAGAAAATAAGGCGGAATAGGAAGAGAAGGAATTAGAGGCAAAAGGTAGCCAAAAGTTTGAGGCAGCACGTGAGGAACTGTAAGGGAGACGCATACAATACAATTAAAGGGATGGTTATGATCGAATTATGAAATTAATGAAAATTTATATCAAGCCGGTACGTGTAGAAGTAAAAAAACACATCAATTTGGATAAATTATGCAGATTTGAGCTTAATTAAATTGGCTAGAGAAGTTTGAATTCTCTACATATGCATAATTTGAATGAATTATTTAGCGTTGAAGTACCTACATAGAAAAATGTGTGGTTAGTATTTTTTTTTTAATTACAAAAAATTAATTTTTTAAAATCAATTAATTACGAATTATTTGGAAATGCTTTTAAAATGATTGAAAGCGTTTTTTTGATGAAATTGATTTTAATTTCCAAAAACATCAACATTAGAAGGAACCAGCATCAAATATGTACTGTGTGCTTTATCGAGAAGCGCATGAAGTGCTTTTTTCAAAAGGCACATAACTGTTTTTTCAGGAACCACTTTGATTTTTACTAAGAATTGGTTTCAAAAATATTTTCAATCATTTTAAAAGCAATTTCAAACAAGTTATTAATTAATCAAGAACCAAAAAGAAAAAAGAAAAATGATTATTTAATATAATAGAAGATAAATGTGGGGTAATTCTCTTGGCTTATATTGGTTCCGTCCACACAATTTCTACTTCCTAAACAATTTTATAGTACGTTTTTTTATCGTTGCATTTGTCTACGGGAAACATACTGCGTGGATGTTATGGAGTTTATACAACTTGGTCGCCAAGTCTTTTACTTTCCACCTCTCGAACGCACTCAACTTCACATGATGATCAAACCCTATTCAAATTATTACTTAAGCTATAATATATCCTTAATTAATTAGGTTGATTATACTTCTTCAAGCAGTTGGACGGATATGTATACTTAATTATATATAAGGATCCTTTAACAAGAGGATCCTTATTTTTCTAAAAAAATGGGGATCCCTCTTGACCGTTAGATTGACTTTAATAAAATTGTGTGGCCTGTGATTTAATCTTAACCATATAATTTCATTAAAGTTAATCTAACGGTCAAGAGGGATCCCCATTTTTTTAGAAAAATGAGATCCCTCTTGTTAAAGGATCTTTATATATATATATATATATATATATATATATATATATTATGGATTGAATAAAAGGTGGAACATATTATGTTTACAGAAAAATCGTCGAATAAAGAGTCGAACGAGTTAGAATTGTAGATGATGTTTTTTTATTTTTTTTATTTATTAATTTTATAACAAACGATATTATCTACACTATAAGGAGGAGAAGGGTCGGTTAGCCTTACAATGGCTAACAATAATATGGTTCAAGTTCGAACTTAAGACGTCTCACTTACAAGCCAAATGAATACCACTAGACCGTAGTACTAAGTGACATTGTAGAAGTTTTAGTTCTCTGTATATGGATCATTTTGAGACCTTTTCCATAAATAAATGGTTCATTAATATTCAATTTCAATTATCATGATCATACATACAATTTGATTTATAATGTACTTATCTCATCATGTTTTTTCAAATGTGAGAAAAAAGTAATGCAGTCCTGCTCTCCTAAGGTCTCCATTTTGAGGACTTGTGAGGACCAAATAAATATTAGCCACGAGATTATATTAGTTTAGATCCAAAAACTTAAACATTTTGAAGACCTTAGAATAACAGGACTCAAAGTAATGAAGGGAAACTAGAATTTCAGACTTCTAATTACTGTGAAACTTATACAATCTACTTTTTTTCACTCTTTACCGAAGAAAAATTAAAAGAAATAATCAAGGTAATTAACTCTTTGCCAAAGGCAAGGTAAAATATAGGACAAACTGTTTGTGTCCACAAAAATTTAACCACACCCTACTTTATACCATGCATGGACGGCCTTTTTTGCTGTAATTTGTGGATGGTGTTTCTCCTTAGTTCTTTTTTCTTTATTTTGGCACATACATAATCTCATCCAAGACAACTAACTAGCTTTAGTTACAATGGTTAGCCCACGTCTATCACAACAAAGTGAAGAGGGGTATACTGGTGATTTTCCAGGTATAAATATATACAGTGGAAAATTACCAAACAGCCTAAGCTAACCGTGCAACTGTGTATAAATATGACTCCCGAGATACTTACAAATCAGTTCAACAAGATCTACTTTTGAATAGAGAAACGTTCAAATTTTACTTGGTCTTCTAATCCACCTCACTCTCGTTAATCGCAATCGATCAAATCTGGTTTTTGACGGTGAAAACCAAACCATATCGCATATTCTTATACCTTTCCATCAATTTTCCAGCCTTATAATTCCAATCACTTTTGTCTTTGCATCTATATTTCTCTTCCTCTCCCTCTCTCCAATCAAGTTATTAAACCCTAATTGATGATCACCAAAAAGGTTGATGAATGTACATTCTACCCTGCAATGACGATAAAAGGAGGCACAAGCCAAGCCTGTGCTGCGTGCAAATACCAAAGACGAAAGTGTGCTAAAGACTGCGCTCTTGCTCCACACTTTCCGCCCGATCAACCGAAGCTGTTTCAAAACGCCCACCGATTGTACGGCGTTGCAAACATAATGAAGATTCTAAAGCAAGTTCATCCTGAGAAAAGGGAGGAGGCTATGAGATCGATCATATATGAATCCAATATGTGTGCCAAATTTCCAGTCACCGGATGTATGGGCATCATAAACCAATTAACTTTCCAGTTACAGCAAGCCCAAGAAGAGCTTCGATATGTGAGAACGCATCTTGCAATTTGTAAGGATCAATGTCAATATCGAATGCCTACTTCTCCGCAGCACTACTCGTGTCCTTCATCGCAGTTGCAGCTAGGCATACCTACGAACACCGATGCGGCGGCTCTGACACTTTATCAACAACATCAATATCCGTATCAATATGCTTCTGGTGGCAGTGGTGGAATGCCCTGGGTGGCTAATGAGTATCTTGCAAATGGACTTAATGGGGTTTATATTGACGAAAATGATAATATGGTAAAACCTCTTAGGGTTCAACATCCCTATTATAACGATATCAATGTCGAACAACTTATGGCTATTCAGTCCAATTTGGTTCCTTCACAAGCCTTTCCTATTCACCAAGAAATGGATGTTCCCCATGATTATGATGACATTCCATTTGATACAATTGCTGATGATCGACAATCGTATATCGAATCTAAAGAAGCCTGTGAGTCTAGGTATGTGCAATTTTTAACTAATTGTCTTCTATAATTTGAGACTTATGTTACTATATGTTGTCTAATTGCTGACCTCCGCTTAGCCTAGTTGGCTAGATCAGTGTTCCCTTTCTGCAGTACCGTAGTTTAGATGATTTTATGCTACAATTTTGCTTACAAATTAAATTTAATTATATGCAGTGCTGAATCATCTTTCAAGGGCACACAATCGATCGAACATGTCTCACAGAATGATCTCAAGAGTGCGGCAGCATGCTTCAGTCTAACAAGTGTGAAGTAGCTATATCTAGAAAACAACTGAAGTAATTCAAGTAATTTCAGAACGAGTTCCTTAGTTTTTCATTTTTTTTTTTTTAAATTCGGTGTTCAAAGCTCAACAATTTTGTTTAATTGTTTCCACGTACGCATTCATTGAATAAGAGATGTAGGCTAGCTCTTAAACAATCATTTTTGCAGAGGATTGATATGCACTTAAAATTTTCACTGCCCTTCTATATTTCTACTCCCAAGTTCCATCAGACATTTCACAATTTTATTAGTGTTAATTAATAAAGTTATTATTTCTTTTGTTAAATATTAGTGTGATAGGCAACAATATCTCTTTAGCCATTTTGATTGATGCGATCATGAAAAATATTAAAACACACATAACATTGTTTAACAAAATCAAAGTGATGGTTTCTCTTCTCTCGTCTGAAAGGTCAGTTGCATAAGAAGATCATCACATGCGCAGTTTGCATAGAGGATGTCATTGAAAATGAATAATTTTAAATTCAATATTTGAGATGATTGATTAAACATGAAGTAAACTTTTTTCTTCTAATCCTCTCATTTTGGAGAGATTGGAATGAATGAGTTTTCTTCTAGAGCAATTGATCTCCTATCTCCAAGTTGACAGTAATTTTTTTGTTTCTTCCTTAATTAAACATGCATTGAAAATAGTAACTTATTAGTTTCAATCCAATATTTTATACGCCAAAAAATGTGCATTCTATGTAGAACTACGGTGGTAGTTAGCTAGTTTGCATTTTTAGTGAAATATCGTGTCATATTATGATACATGTTGCAATATAAACCTCATGAGCACTTCACAGCAGATACCCTGCTCCACTATCCATAGAGCGGGAGAGTTATTGATATGTAATATTTCATCTATATTACTGATAATATGTAGATTTGTGTTGATATGGGATGTCAATACGTATAATTAATACGCTGTTGATATTTACCGATATGGATATGTCAATATTCTCGCACGACTTGTCACCAATATGGTGTCAATTTGTTGTCAATATGTCAAAAATGTGGCTATTGATATTTCATCAATGTGGTGACGTATATGTCATCGTTGTTTGAATCATGAGATTGAGATGAGATTAAGTTGTAAAGTGTGCTTAAACAACTTACTAATTGGTTAGCGCTTGAGCACATTTCACAGTTTCATCTTATGATCTGAATTGTTAATTTTGAGATGATCAAATGAAGAGTTTACGTGAATTAAAGCTAGATAACTAATTGTGGTAGCAAATCTTTTCCATCTTTAGTCTTGACAAAATTGTACCTACAAAACAATTAAACAGCTTTGATCAACCGATGCCTAGAAAGTTTAAAGCTTAATTGCGTAGCCAAAGCTTACCAGAAGTTGGTGAGATGGGGTTTTTATAGGAGTTAGGCCGACCACATGTGTAGCCTTTGCCCTAACATGACATTTGATTGGCCAAGATGAGTCATCTGCATGATGGATGAGGAAACAATTATCCCAAAGATATTATTTAAATAATATCTTGAGATTATCCTTGAAATATTCTTAATTGGATATGATCGTGATTCTTGATTGATTTTATCTTCAATTAGGAGATCTTATCTTTCTTTTTTTTTCTTTTTTTTTTTTTTTTTTTTTTAACAAAAGGAGATCTCTTTAGTATCTTTGACTTTTAGTCAGCCCCTTATGTCTTCAGTTATGTTGAATTGCACATGAATCGAATGTGGGTCTTGCCAATTTAATGTGAGCATCTTCGTCACTTGTGGGTAAAAGTCCACTGTTAGCTCTAGAATTACTTTTTGCTCCACACTAATCACTTCTTATTTGAGTGATGACCTTGAAAATGTTTGGTTTAGATTATCGAAAAAGGAACGTATTAATTTATTAACTAGTTACCTCTTAAATGCTACTAATATTCACGCACGCACACAATTTAGAATATTACTACTGAAGGCTTAAGATACTATAATTACTAAGAAGCTCTTATTAAATTTTTCTAACGGAGTAACTATTGATAAAGAAACGACAATTTGTACGGGCTTCCATGTTTTGAGTTGCGGGTTGGGTTGTTTCGAGTGAATGTATACAAATTAGAAGATCAAATTTGACCGTTAAGATGATGATTGTGTTAAATACGCGATTGTATTGTAGTCAATCTCATACATAATTTATGTTTGTGTTTGAGTGAATCATGCCTATGTGAAGTATGTTTTCATTAGTTAAGCATGCCTCAGATATGAAGCACATATTTCTTATGAATGTTGATCTCTCATATATGAGGAGCGCAACTCACATAGCTATGAGTGCATTGTAGCTGGAAGAGGGTTGGTTATTATTGCAATTTATAGCTCTTGATGCTAAATCCAACTATTTATATAACTAAACCCAACCCTTTGTACTGTATTTGAGACGTAATAAATATCTCTCTTCTGTACAACTTGGTATTACTTTGTTCTTCTTCTTCGTTCTTAGTATAGTGTTAATATGGTATCATCGCCGGTGGTGATCGTCCATTTTCCGCTGCACAATTTCTGACCGGATACTGCTTTATGCAAAAGGAGGATGAAGATCTGGTGGTCTTGGTGATCGTCAATGGTGGTTTATTTGCCGAGAAAGTATTGTGCCCTCTAACTGTTTGCTGTTTTGTGTCAGTGAGTTCTTCGTTACTCTTTTCTCTATTTTTTACAAGGCCGATAGCCAGTTGAAGTGTTTTTCGAAGATATGAATGTTTACAAAAGCCGATTGCCATATTTTTCTTGGTTTGTATAGTTTCTACTCCTTGAAGGCCAATTGCCGGAGTGTTGAATCTTGAAGTCTTTCTGCTATATCCACTTTTTTAAAGGCTAATTGCCGAAGAGGGTTTTGTGCGTTGCTCTTAATTGCAAGTTGTATACAAATCTTGATTGATAGTTTCTTGAACTTTGTTGAGAATAAGTCGAATTCTTGTGTTGATTGTCAACATGCTTACTGTGAAGTTGCAAGATGATAACTTTGTCAAATGGAATTTTCAGTTTCAATCAGTCTTGCGTGGTTATGATTTGTTTGATTTCTTTACGGGGGATAATCCATGTCCACCTAAATATGTGATTCATACTGAGACTAGTGTGATAAGAGATATAACTACTGCCTATAAGAATTGGGTGAGAAAGGATATGGCTTTACTTAGTTTGCTTATTGCTACCTTATCTGATGATGCTATAGAGCATGTTATTGGATGTAAAACTTCACAGGAAGCATGGAATGCTCTACAAGATTGTTTTGCTTCTGTCTCAGTATCCAGGATTAATCAGTTGGAGACTGAGTTCCATACTGCACAAAAAGGATGGGATTCGATTGACAAGTTTTTGTTGAAGTTAAAGGCTATAAGAGATCAATTAATCTTTGCTGGAGAAAGGGTATTTGAAAATGATCTGGTTATTGCTGTTTTGACTGGATTATCACAGGAATTTGATATGATCAGAACTGTGATATTGGCAAGGGAAACACCAATCTCTTTGAAAGACTTCCATGCACAGCTTCTCAGCGCTGAACTTACCATAGAATCCAGAGTCACAGCTCTTACAGGTTCAATGTCTGCATTGTATATGAATGGTGATAATGGTAATGGTCATACTGGTTCTTATCAAGCAAATGGTAGTTATCAAGGTGAAAGTTCAACCATGGGGGCAAATGGTTATCAAGGGGGTGAAAGCTTTAATGTGGGGGGAAAATGGTTATCAAGGAGGATTTTGTTTTACTGGCAGTAATCAAAGGCATTTCAATACTCAAAATTGAAGGACATTCAATTCTAACAAGAATTCCTATGGACACAACGCTTCAAAACCTTACTTTGGCAACAAAAGTAGGGGATCAAAGGGCAACTTTTCTGATCAAGGCAAGAGTTCACAGTCAAGTTTCAATGGTCAGTTCCATTACTCCTGAATGTCAAATATGCTCCAGAAAAGGTCACATTGCGCCTAATTGTCATTTTAAGAGTACAACTAATGGCAATCAATATCAACTCTTGGTATGTCAGATCTGTGGAAAGAAGGGCCACAATGCACTGGACTGTTTTCATAGGAACAATTATGCCTATCAAGGGGCTCCACCACCTCCAACACTCACTGCCATGTCTGCATAAGGTTCACATAGTTACTCTCAAGTACCAAATAAGCGTCAACCACATGGGTTTTCTGCTGCTGATACATGGGTCCTAGATATTGGTGCTACACATCATATGATAGCAAATGTCAACAATATGAATCAAGTCACCGCATACAATGGTGATGAGAAGATAATCATTGGAAATGGTCCAGGTTAGGATGTGAAACATATTGGTTCCACTAAACTTTTCACTCAAGATCATTGCTTATTCTTGAAAAATGTTTTGCATGTACCCGATATAACTGTGAATCTTCTGTCAGTTAAGAAATTGTGCTATGATAATGGCTGCTGGTTTATATGTGATGATAATGTGTTTTTCATACAGGACAAGGCAACCAATGTGATACTCTATCAAGGAATGAGTGATGGAGATATTTTTACAATACCTGTGACAGTGTTTTAAAGATTGTTTTCTGCAAATTAGAAGATAAAAGATGTGAAAGTTGGCTTTATAGGAAAGAAGATAAAGACTGCAATCTGGCATAGGAGGCTAGGCCATCCTTCTGAAGAAGTATTGACAGCTATGATGAAAGCAGCAAAAGTACCAGTTAGTATAAATCATTCTTAGTCCATATGCACTTAATGTATTTCAAGTAAAATGTGTAGGCAATCTTTTCCTGTAAAACAAAGTAGAGCTACCTTTGTATTTGAAAGAGTACATTCAGATGTATGGGGGCATTCTCCAAAGATATCAATTGAAGGATATAAATATTACATCAGTTTTATTGATGAGTATTCAAGGTTCTTGTGGATATTTCCTATGGTTAACAAATCTGAAGCAGTCTTTGCATTTATAAAGTTCCATGCTTTTGAATTAACTTAATTCAACACTGAGATTAAATGTTTGCAAACTGATGGAGGGGGAGAGTATATCAGTAAAGTGTTTGTCAAATTTTTGGAATCAAAAGGGATTGTTCATAGAATATCATGTCATATACTCCTTAAGAGAATGGCATTTCTGAGAGGAAACAGACATGTGATAAAGACTACATTAACTTTAATGTCAAGAAGCTCTGCAGAAGCTGAGTATAAGGCCTTAGCTCATACAGCTGCTAATATAGCGTGGATCAGAAGTCTGTTAAAATATATGGCTGTAGTATTAAATTATTCCCCTGTGATCTATTGTGACAACAAATCGGCCATTGCTCTAGGTGCAAATCTAGTGTTTCACTCTGGGATTAAGCACTTAGACACATATTATCATTTTGTAAGGGAGAAAAGTTCAAAACGGAGATCTCCAAGTTCAATACTTGTCAACTGAAGACCAAACTGCTGATATTTTAACTAAGGGGCTGCATAGTCCATCACTTCTCAAGCATTCTGTCAATCTCAAACTAGGAAACCCGGTTGAGATTGAGGGGAGATGTTGACTGATATACACATAAGCAACATACCACATCAGCAATCCATATTAGCAAGGCTGTTATCCACATCAGCTAATCTGTTAGTTAGACAGTTGGGATTGTAGGAAGCTATAATGTGGTTATAGTTTGTTAGAAACTTACCAAGAAAGCAAAGAGCATGTATAAATAGAGAGCTTCTATCTCTGACTTGTATCGAATTCATTCTGCAATATACAAATCCTTATTTCATTATCTCTCTCTCTCTCTCTCTCTCTCTCTCTCTCTCTCTCTCTCTCTCTCTCTCTCTCTCTCTCTCTCTCTCTGCAACTTGGTGTTACTTTGTTCTTCTTCTTCGATTCATAGTATAGTGTTAATAACAATCACCTGCTACATGGGCATTGTAAAGTATAAACCAACTGAATTTCCAATTACAATAAGCTCTTTTTCATGTGAGAACACATCTCGCAATTTGAAAGGACCAATGCCAATATCAAATCCTTTTTTCTCTACTGCATTGCTATTGTAATTCATTGTAATTGCAACTAGTTATTCCTGTTAGCACCAACACGTACGACTACAACTTCAACATTCTATAAACATCATTGGAATCAATGTCAAAACACATAGCAACCCACATACCTTGAAATCATCATTAGCAACCTCGGGTTGAAGTTTCCTCACTTGAATCTGCAAGCCTCCAAGTTTTCTAGCTTAGGGATTTTTTGTTAGTTCATAACCTAATTTCTAATGAGGTTCGTCTTCGAAATTAAAATTAACATTGTTGTAAGATAATGTTTTGCATAGAGTGAAATTATGATATTCATGCTCTTATGTTGGACATCTTATGTATAGAAAACCAGAGGAAAAGTGCACAGTGGTAAACAATGCAAAACAATGCACATGCGGACGAAAACTTTGGTGTCAATCGCTTCGACCAAAATAATTGGACAAAAATACCCTGGCCAAAAAAATTTCAAAGCATGAAATATGAATGCATAAAATAATCCAAGGTTAATTTGGTAAATTTATTTTTAAATAATTTTGTCAGAATTGGGATCAACAGTGCACATGCAGCCAAAATTTTGGGGTCACGCATGGTTGGACCAAGATGCCCCTCAGCCACAAAAAATGCAACAGCAAAATTGAATGCAGTAAGGGTAACTTGGTAATTTGGCTATCATAAACTATAATATAAATAAAAGTGGGAATAGAGAAAAGAATAAAAAATGAAACAGAAAGAAAGAAAAGAATAAACATATGACAAAAACATTTAAAATAAATAAATCACGGGTAGCATGCTGTGATTCAAAAAATGCATTTTGCATGTGATTGTTTATTAAATATTATTTCTTAATTTTTAATTAAGAGGTGCATAGTGCCAGTTATAAAAAAGTTTTTCGCACGCGTATAATAATGTGATTCAATTAGTTGTCAAATGATCATTTTTTTCTTTATAAAAAAAATATTTCGTACATGAATAATAATGTGATTAATTAATTGTCAAATGATTTTTTTTAACAAATAATATTATCTATACAGGAGTGCGCTTAGCCTTACAATAGGCTAATAATAATATAATTCAATCATTTGTTTATTAAATATCATTTTCTCTATTCCTAATGTAAATTTTATACAAAATGATTTTATTATATTAATTCAGCGACTTTAATTGGTTTATGAGGGGTTTGTTCTAGCATGATTGAAAATTATTCATTTACTTCAAATATTTAATTTTCCTTTTGTCAATTTACATATATAAATACATTTAAAACGTATAAATTACGCATAATATACTGTAATTTAAAAAATACATTCTGCACGCAAGCGCATGCCTGAAGACTAGTGTGCTAATAAAACAAAACGGGAGAAAGTCAAGAGATTCTTATTTTACTTTTTTATTTTAGCTTCTCATGTCATGATAGCAACAGTCTAATTATCTTAAACATGTCGGTCAATATTTAGACGAACATGTATTTTGTCTGGTATCATCATGTGGAGAATAAAAAACCTGCTTGTTACAATGAAAATGAACGGTAAACTCATTTGTCTCAATCAAAGCCTAAAGCAGGAAATTAAGTAATTGCTTTGTTGTTCACAACTGATGATCATGCCAGAAAGTCTTATTTTTTCTTTCCATTGAGAAAATATATTATGTTTTACGAACCTATAAAACCAGTGCAGTTGGTAATCAATCGTAGGTGATAAAATAATATCTATGTGACAAAATTGATAGCTAGCAGCACCGGTCCACAATGAATTTTAATTAGACCAGCCCCGTTGACTGTCGTAAAACTAATAAAGTAATAACTTTAATGATGTAATTAGCAGCAAGCTAATAAGATTCTTTTTCTAATCTAGAGATGTAAATAATGTCAAGGGTGAAGAAAGTTAGTTCCACCATAAAACTAATTAACAATATATGAAGTAGTCCAACCTCTTATAAGCTCATGTAAGATTCATCCTCCTAGCAATATGAGACTCATTCTCAACAATCCCCTCATGTGACGAATTTTCAAGCCTAATGTGTGAGAATTTTCAAGCTTAACGCATGGACAACACAACATGATAGTGTAGCTGTTTGGCTTCACACGGGGGAGAAGCTGCTCTGATACCATAAAGAAAGTTAAGATTTCACCTTAAAACCGATTGGCAATATTAGGAGTAGCCCAACCTTTTAATTACGAGCCCATTTAAGATCTCTCCTCTTATTAATATGAGACTCATTCTCAACGTATCACATTTTTAAACTATATTGGTATATCATCTTATATGATAAGTGATGCCAACATAGAATTAAATAAAGGGAGTTTTAACGAAACACTCACAGTATTGTTCACTTTTAACGAAAAACCACATTTTTACATTTTTCAGGTACTATTCACTACACCTTTATTTGTCATTTTTCATTAAAACTAAAGTTTTTTTAGACTTTTCGTTAGTTTTCCTTTCAATAAATTCATTAATTGACGTGACATGTACACATTACTATGCCACGTCCACGTTAGATAGTACACCAACGTACTACAAAAATGTAATATCCCTGACATTTTTCCTACATATAATACATTTTAGAGACCTAATTTTCTCACAAATTTTGTCTATAGTATCTTTTGTACCATTTTTACTGAAAAAAAAAGATATCTTCTACAGATAAAAGAAAGAAGGACATAAAAACCACATGATATAAATATGGAAGCGTTATTGGCACTCCAAAAATCTCATTCTACACTCCCCATAAGTTTATTTTTCTTTTCTAATATAAAAAGTTTGGAGTGTAGAATGAGATTTTTGGAGTGCTAATAACAATTCCCTATAAATAAAATAAAATAAAGAATAAAAGAAAATATAAATGCCACCTTAAGCATAGATATATTGCCATAAGGAAGTGAATTCCAAATACGCCCCATTTTTTTAAGCTGTTAGATTGAATAAATGAAGAAAAAAAATAATGACTAAAATTAAGAAGAGTGCAAAAAGTAAGAAAAAAAAATGTGTGCAACAATTACTTCTAATTATCATATCTTAAGAGAAATTTTTTAGTGTGTCGTGAACAAGACTAGGTACACCAAAGTCATAATACAAGTAGTTAAATTTTTGTACTTGATGTACCCGACCATATTCTTGGAACACTGCTCACATATTCAGGCCATTTTGATACTACCTCAACATTAATGCATACGACACAAACTTTGTCATATTACTAACTAAAGTCAACGCACTTTTATGTATATATTAATTGCTTCCTCATACGGTATCATCATCAACTACATTGTAACGTACTTGATTATATACTAGGAAGGTGAAGCTGCAACTGCTAACCTAAGCCTATAGACCAAGATTGCCTTGGGATCGTTGGAAACCCTAATGGATTTGGCAGCGGAGATAGGAAGAAGCGTAAGCTCCTCTTTCCATCAACATGCATCAAGTTTCAGAAGCACTTCAGATGTGAGATCCATCAACGACAACAACGACGATGAAGTTGAGTTGCAGTGGGCTGCAATCGAAAGATTGCCAACGTTTGAACGTCTTACAACCTCGTTATTTGATTGTCGTAGGAGCAATGCAGATCAACATGCTGATGAACAAGGTAAGAGGGTGATCGATGTAACAAAGCTAGGGGCCCTAGAACGCCGGGTGTTCATTGACAAACTTCTCAAGGAAATTGAGGCAGATAACCACCGTCTCTTACACAAACTCAAAGAAAGAATAGACAGGTAAATTATAATTAGACCGATCTGTGTATACATCACTTGTCATAGGCTCCAGTGAAGAATTAATCTATAAGAAGTACGATTAATTATGAACTTGTTATCGTTATATCAATTTTGATTAGGCATTTATATAGTTGTATTTTTCATAACTTTCTGTTAGAAGATGTACAAATTCAAATCTCCTCCAATCACCATCACCATCACCATAATTATTTTGTTTTCAATGCTGCCATCTAACAGTTATTCCTGTTATCCCCTATTTTCTTTCAAATATATAAACTTGATCCAGTAAAAAAATATTTAAACAATATTTTAAGATATATACTATATACGTAAATACTAAATTTGTAAACTTACTTTTTTATTTTATTTTTACAAACAATAAGATAAGTTACACTAGATGCTTTTAAATTATGGAGATGGAAGAGAGTTTTTTGAATTCGGAACAAAATAGTTTGCGGGTTAATTAAGGAAGAAGACCACCTATCCACCATTGCTATTAACTACTTCTACACTGTGTTTAAACTATTTAAATAATATTTATATGAACTGTTCAGTCCAACATAGAAAACAATCATGGTACAAAATCAAAATAAATGAATTCTCAATCCCGATAATATGGAAAACACGAGGATCTTCTCTAGATCTTTTTTGTGAGGATTTCGGAAATCCTTTAATCACATTCGTTCATCATAAATCGTGCGGTCAATTTTCGTTAAGTACTGTTTATATTTAATTCAAATAAAAATATTTACAATGATTTCTGACTGTACAATATATGATGAACGAATGTAATTGAAGAATTCTCACAAAAAAAATCTGAAGATGATCCTCGTTCGGAAAACCCAGAGACTTTTGCTGTTGGCGTCAAAGTTTCATAACAAGAACTATGTTTTTTTTTTTTTTTTTTTAAATCGTCCATCAGCATTGTTATAATAAAAACTTGCGTCCACAATTTGTTCCCTTTGCTGGCGCATGCTTGTTTTTGTGCATATATTAAATCACCTAGAGGTTAAAATATAGAAAAATGGCTTATCGATTAAGTCTCCGACGACTGACCTTTTGCAATTTTGTAGAGCGGGATTACAATTACCGACAGTGGAAGTTCGATACCAAAATTTGTTTGTAGAAGCAGAATGCGAAGTAGTTCAAGGAAAACCCCTCCCCACACTATGGACTGCGTTCAAAAGTATATTTTCTGTAAGTGTTATATTCATCTATATTTGTATCTAACCAAACTTCGAATGTGTACGTTTATCTTACGTTGTCGGTCTCAAACCCAAATAAAGAAAGAGAGGAGGGCGTTGAGTAGTCAACAGCCGGCATTCTAAATTTATGATATTAATTTGTATCTAATCTGCCTAATTAAGGGATGATCTTTCTTGAAATTAGGGTTCCTAAGATAATTCACACATTACGTGCGCGACCAGCTTCTTGAAGGAGAGATTTTTCAGTGTGCCAGTAACATGGCCTAGTACACATGTAGCAATACAATTGGTTGGAAACTTGATTTTTTTTCTTCAGCAATTGTATTATTACACTTCGTATAACGGGCCATATTTTGAACACACCAAAATTTCTCCCCTAGAAGTTCAGATTCTTCGGCTGCATTCCAACTAAATAAATCGTGGTTTTAATTTGCTAAGTTAATATAATTAAACATGGATACTGTCCCACGTAAATAATAAAATTGAAATTAATAACAATAATATTGACGGGTACTTGAAAAAATTCATATTTCAGAGTTTGTAGTACCTGCAATATTCTTAGTATTCCTATTGCATTTGCAGCACGTGATGCAGCATGCATGCCAGGCATATATAAAGAAACTTTCATATACAACAGATACAAAAAATAAAAAAATAATAGTTATATTTGTTTCAAAATGTTCTTTCTTACATTGAATTATGTAGTCCTTTTTCTTCTTCCCTTCAAATGATCCATATTCTGTTTATGATTTTGAATAACATAACTGGAATTGTCATTTGATATCAATATATAATGGTTTGGACTTGGACAATTGCATTTTCAAGAGCACCAAGAATCCCCAAATGTTTGAACTGCAGGCTATGACACAGATAGTTGGCTGCAAGCCTCAGGCATCCAAATTAGAAATTCTCAAAGGTGTCAGTGGCATCATCAAGCCATCAAGGTTAATATTTGATACAGATGCGGCTGATAAAAAAAAATGATTTTCGGACATCATTTTTCTCTCCATGCACACCTCTGTTTATTTTTAACTTTTAGATTGAACAAAGCAAAGGAGAAGTAAGAAATAATAAAAAAGTTCGCAGAGAGAAAAATGGTGCATACTAATTTATCTTGATAAAATTAATGAGAGGGAGTTTGGCTTCATGGAACTTCATGTTTATGATTGGAATAAATCACTATGTAAAGATCATGTCTATAAAAAAATCATTAAAACTAAGGCAATTCAGTCATTCAACTGCATTAAATATATGGACGGTGCATAATGCTATTATCGAATATGTCCATCTTCTTTTGTATAGTTTGATGGCTAAATGATAGATCGTAATCCTGAAATTCCTTGAATCGGCTGTAAAGTGAAAGGAGCTCCTCCTCAACTATTGAGGAGCCAAATTAATTCCCAAATTAATCTGTTTCTTCGACTTTTACAGTGATATAAATAACTTCACATTTCATGCAGGCTGACTTTATTGCTTGGCCCTCCAGGCTGTGGCAAAACCACTTTACTACAGGCACTTTCAGCAAAACTTAACCACTCTCTCAAGGTTCTCTAATCATTTACCAAACCTTAAATTGTACAGTAAAACAACATGAGCATATTAATAAATGCATGCATAAATTTTTAGGTCCGAGGGGAAATTACCTACAATGGTTACAAGTTCAATGAGTTTGTTCCTCAGAAGACATCAGCTTATATCAGCCAATATGACCTGCACATTTCTGAGTTGACTGTGAGGGAAGCACTCGACTTCTCAGCGCGTTGTCAGGGTATTGGTAACCGAGCAGGTAGGCCATTTATGCATCTTATGGCCAACATCATAAGTTTATAAAAAACTAGTTTCATCTTTACAATATAGAAGCTTTTTGCCATTGAAGATATAATGAAAGAAGTCAGCAGAAGGGAGAAGCAATCAGGAATTGTCCCAGAGCCAGACATTGACACTTATATGAAGGTATGGATTTTTCAGATACACGTTTCTTTCGGTCTTTGGCAATGTACTGACAACTCGAATAACAGGCCATTTCAATCGAAGGGTTGAAAAACTCTCTCCAAACAGACTATATAATGAAGGTAATTAGTTCTTATTTCCAAGACAAAGTTCTAACCTTACTCCAACTGACAGCAACTTTGGTGCTGCGTACTTTTCTTTTTTTAGATTCTTGGGCTAGATATTTGCGCTGATACAATCGTAGGCGATGCAATGCAACGAGGGATTTCCGGCGGTCAAAAGAAAAGACTGACAACAGGTTTTGTCAATTACTCATCAGCACCTTACTGATAAATTCTGCATATATATAGTATCTGTGTGTGTGGAAAGGGAAGAGGAGGAGGAGAGAAGGGAGGGGGGGGGGGGGGTGGGTGTGGTGGAGAATGCATGAAAAAGTATCCAAAATTATCATGAGGCTCTGGTTTGCTGAATTTATCATAGATATATATACTGAAGCTTCTTGATCGTTTCCTCACTCAGGGGAAATGATGATTGGTCCGGCAAGAGCTTTCTTTATGGATGAGATATCAACAGGCTTAGACAGTTCCACTACTTTTAAGATTGTTACTTGTTTGCAGCAATTTACACACGTAACAGAATCCACCATTTTGGTATCACTACTTCAGCCAACACCAGAGACATTTTCTCTCTTCGATGACATTATTTTAATGGCAGAAGGAAAAATTGTATATCACGGGCCTTGCAAAGACGTAGCAGAGTTCTTTGAGCACTGTGGTTTTCGTAGCCCCCCACGAAAAGGCATTTCTGACTTCCTACAAGAGGTATGAATCCACATTTGATTAACAAAATTAACATTATGTAACCATATATTGTATATTCTGATTGATCTGAGCTACAAATTTTTGGTGCAGGTGGTTTCTCAAAAGGATCAAGCAAAATATTGGTACCATGAAGGCCAACCCTATAGCTATGTTAGTGTTGACATGTTTGTAAATATGTCCAAGGACTTTCATGCTGGAAAGACGCTAGATGAGGAACTTTGCAAGCCTTTCGACAAATCTGAGCACCACAAAATTGCTTTATCATTCAACTTCTACTCATTAACAAAATGTGAACTATTAAAAGCATGCACGGCTAGAGAATGGCTTCTTATGAAACGTAACTCATTTATTCATGTATTCAAGTCGGTGCAGGTAATGAATAACCCTTGATCTATCTGAATCCTAACTCATTTACGTTACACTTCCTCACCACTTGAATTATTTCATTCTACAGCTTGTAATCGTTGCGCTGGTCACAATGACAGTGTTTTTACGCACACGGATGGATATTGACGAGGTGCATGCAAAGTACTACATGGGTTCTTTGTTTTATGCTCTCATTAGACTGATGACCAATGGGGCTGCAGAGCTCTCAATGACTGTCTCTAGACTTGCCGTCTTCTACAAGCAAAGAGATTTCTATTTTTATCCTGCTTGGGCGTATTCCATTCCAGCTATCATTTTAAAGATTCCATTTTCATTTTTGGATGCTTTTCTTTGGACATCTTTGACTTATTACGTCATCGGTTACAGTCCTGAGCCTGACAGGTTCTTCAAGCAGCTCCTTATTTTATTCCTTATGCATCAAGTATCAATATCGTTGTTTCGTTTGATTGCCTCATTGGTTCGGACTCCTTCAGTAGCAGCAACCATCGCTCTCTTCACTACAATTGTAATGTTTCTGTTTGGCGGCTTTGTGATTCCGAGATGTAAGATTTTTCACCTATCACTTCATCCGAAATTTAAAAAAAAAACTACCATTTAATTAGTCAATCTAATAACCATTTCAAAATGCAGCTTCTCTGCCTGCTTGGTTGGAATGGGGCTTTTGGATTTCGCCTCTAACATTTGGAGAAATAAGTGTTTCAATAAATGAATTCCATGCTCCAAGGTGGAAAAAGGTGAAGGAAGAAGTACTATACTTTTAAATAATGAAACCATATCAAGGTAGTTTAATTTGTAGAGGCAGCTTTGCCTCCTGAACTTTTGTTTACATCAATGCTTATTTACTGGTTGTTGTGACGTGCAGATTTTATCTTCCAATGTCACTATAGGCCTGCAAGCACTAGAAAGCCGTGGTCTAAATTTCGATGACAAGTTTTATTGGATATCAGTAGGAGCTTTACTTGGATTTTGGATGGTTTTTAACCTTGGTTTCACCTTTGCACTCAGTTTTTTGAAATGTAAGTCTCTACCAATGAGACATTGAGATATGAAAGATTTGATAACTAACCATGAATCCATTGAAGATCTTATTGAAATTTGACCTTTTTTGTCAGCTCCGGGAAGTTCTCGAAAAATCATCTCTCACGAAAGGTTCTCTAAGCTTAAGGGAAAAGGAAATTTAGATGCTTCCTTCCAAGAAAAAGAATTAACTTGTGTAGATACTCACACAACTTCTGCAGAACCTATAAGTATAGCTGTGATACTTCTTACTGTTCAATTGATCTTCAAATCATTTAAGAAATGTGCTAATTAATTACAAATTATCTCAAATTGTTCAGGAATGGTCTTACCTTTTGAGCCCATAAGCATATCGTTTGAAAAAGTGCAATATTTTGTTGATACACCTAAGGTAAGCGCATTATTTTTTAGTTCTTGATTCTGCAAGAATGTTGTATTTGAATTAAAAAGATCTGATTTAACCGTTTCTATTCAACAGAAATTAAAAGATCATGGTTTTTCTCCAAAAAGACTACAGCTTCTTCAAGATGTAACCGGTGCATTTAGACCTGGAGTTCTTACAGCTTTAATGGGAGTTAGTGGAGCTGGAAAAACAACACTGATGGATGTCCTTTCCGGAAGAAAAACTGGTGGAATCATCGAAGGAGACATCAGAATTGGAGGGTACCCTAAAGTCCAAGAAACATATGCCAGAATATCCGGTTATTGTGAGCAAAGTGACGTACACTCTCCACATATTACAGTCGAAGAATCAATAGCATACTCAGCTTGGTTGCGCTTGCCCGTCCAGATTGATAGGCCTACTAGATCTGTAAGTTATTTTTTAAACTTACAAGGCATGTAGCATGTGAAACATAATATATTCATTTTACATGCATAGATAAAAACAAAAGTTCTATGATTCTATAAGATTTCAAGATGATTTGAATTGATCCATCTATTTCTCAGCAATTTGTGAAAGAAGTTCTTCAAATGATAGAGCTTGACGAAGTCAAAGATGAATTAGTTGGCTCGCCTGGTGGTAGTGGGATATCGACAGAGCAACGAAAAAGACTTACAATAGCGGTAGAGCTTGTTTCAAATCCATCCATAATATTTATGGACGAACCAACCTCGGGTTTAGATGCTAGAGCAGCTGCTATAGTCATGAGAGTTGTGAAAAATATTGTTAGCACAAGGAGGACAGTTGTATGCACTATTCACCAGCCAAGTATTGATATCTTCGAAGCATTCGACGAGGTGATTGACTAGTGAGATTCTATATATGAAACAGTTATTTTTCTTGTAGTACATAAATAGGAGATAACATATCTGGGTATTCTTTGTACAGCTTATTCTGATGAAAAGAGGAGGACAAGTAATATACAACGGGGAGCTGGGTCGAAATTCAAGTAAGCTTATCGAATACTTTGAGGTAAAGTTATTTGATGAGATGAACACTCTTTTCCTTGGTTTTCATATCTGATTGACTGATACACAGTTCAATTATGTAAACTCTCAATTTTCTCTCGCTTTATGTTACAGGCTATTCCCGGTGCTCCAAAAATCAAAGAGAATTACAACCCAGCAACGTGGATGTTAGAGGTCACCAGTTCTTCTGCAGAAGCTCAACTTGCCATAGATTTTGCTCATCTCTACAAAGACTCACACCTATGCCAGTGAGCATTACTACATTATCATATACAACATATGAGCTTTACTCAAAACACTTCCACATTAAAAAATCCATTATATTGTTGAATCATCTTACTGAATCAAACTTTTTGTGCTATTCAGGAGGAACAACCAACTAGTTAGAGATCTCCAAATTCCAGAACAAGGCTCAGAGGAACTACATTTCTCTACTCGCTTTCCGCAAAATGGGTGGGAGCAATTCAAAGCATGCTTATGGAAGCGGCATCTCACCTACTGGAGAAGTCCGAGATACAACCTGGGGAGATTGATTTTTACTGCAGCATGTTCTTTGTTATTTGGAGCACTTCTTTGGCAGAAGGGACAGAAAATGTAAGTCCATCAACAATGAAAATTAATAAGTCTTATGGTTCTATGAAGTCATATTTTAACAATTGATTAAAATACCTACCATCTAAAACGCTTTTTTTTCTTTATTCTGAAGAGATGGTGAACAAGATTTCTTCAACATTCTAGGAGCAATGTTCGTTTTACTTCAATGCATGGGAATCGGCAACTGTTCCTCCGTTTTGCCATTCGTAGCTACTGAGCGCAGTATTGTATACCGAGAAAGGTTTGCTGGAATGTACTCTTCATGGGCGTATTCGTTTTCACAGGTGATCCTATTCCAAATTCATTCCTAGACCATATTTTAGCAATTCCAAAGTTGGATAATTTTACTAAAACTCCTATATTTTTCAGGTGATCGTGGAAATTCCATATATAGCGCTACAAGCAGCTTTATTTTCGACGATTACATATCCGGCTATAAATTTCCACTGGTCACTCTACAAAGCATTTTGGTATTTCTATACTATGTTTTGTACATTGCTCTGGTTCAACTTCTTCGGTATGCTGCTTGTTTCTTTGACCCCAACTTTTCAAGTGGCTTCAGTATTGGCAAGTTTCTGCTACACTATGTTCAATTTGTTCTCAGGATTCCTCATACCTGGACCAGTAAGCAAACTCTTATCTTTACTTGCTGAACAAGAAACAATTTCGCATACTAGTGGATACGGAAACCCTAAAAAAACTTAACTTTGATTTTCTTTCCTCTTGCAGAAAATTCCTGCATGGTGGATTTGGGGTTACTGGATTTGCCCTCTAGCCTGGTCCTTAAAAGGTGTTCTCACTTCGCAGTACGGCGATCTGGAGAAGGAAATAGTAGTACGTGGAGAGCAAAAGGCAATTGGCGCTTTCTTAGAAAGTATTTACGGGTATAACTACAACGATCTAGGAGTTGTAGCAGCTGTTCTTTTTGCATTTCCACTAGTCTTTGCATTAGTTTTTGCAGGTGCAACGGAAAAATTAAACTTTCAGAGGAGGTAATTATAATTAATAACGTCTTCCAACCTACTGAAGTTGCAATGCATCCACATACTGTAACCACTTCAGCTAAAGTCAGTGTTGAAGGAATGGGATCCCAGCTGCTTGGCCTCATCAAGATTAGTGATTCTCTGTGTACAAAAACTTCTCTGTCTGAAATTCCTTACCAGTGCCTTATTTTTTGCTTTTCTGTCTCACAATCTTCATTTCAGTATTTGTCCAAGTGTTCGTAGTAATTTCTTTATTCTCTCGTGTAGTTTTTTCCTCGCTAATAAAAATTTTACACATTATTAATGATATGTTTACTTAGAACCAGATAGTTCAGTAATAGGAATTCACATGACTATTTTGGTTCCATATGCTCTATTTATTCGACATCAATACATTAACATATACTTTTCCGCAATCTCACAACAATTAATAATGATATTGTGTGCGATGATCGGTCTATATGGAGCTTGTGCCCCATGTTTATGACCAGTTCTTATCGTTTTTGGGCTTACATGTATCAGCCTTACGGTGATTAGCAGGTCATTTTGTATGTCTATATTTATTTCTTCTTATATTTTTAGGTCATTACCAAGGCGGTTTGTTTTAGCTCGTTCGGTCAGCCTTGATATATATAAAACTGACCTATCACCAATCTTACAAACGATATAGATATAGTACAAAACAAAGCCAAAATTGTCATACATTAATCGAATTTATTTGCCTCATTAGCCCTTTCTGTGTCTAAATAAACTCTTTTGACTTTTGCACAACCGTCCTCCACCTACTGAAGTGTACTTTTTAGGTTAAAGGTGGCAAACTAATTTTTTGTATTTTTAACATGTACCCGTTAAAACACGTTTAATTTAATATGTATTTTTTGACCTATCTTCCACCTGCTGAAGTGTACTTTTGCACAAATCCGGATTTTTGTAGGATTCTCTTTGTAAGGATCTCAAGGATTCATAAATTATATTTATTCATCGTACATCGCGTAGTTATAAATTATTTTAAATATTTTTATTTAAAATTAAATACAAACAATACCTGATAAAAACTAACAGCACAATACGATGAATAGACATAATTTACAGATCTAAAGATCAGAAGAGGATCCTGTTGACTTTTGCACAAGTGTCCTCCACCTACTGAAGGCCAAACCTTCCACCTCATCCTTCCAATCCGCCTTTTTTGGTCTGTTTTCGGGCCAGAGAAAGGACAGACATAACAAAAACAAAACCGCACTTGCGATTTGGTTTGATTTGGTTTAGTTTGGTTTTGTATTTTTTTTCCTTTTAAGGCATATATTAATATATGGTTGATGAGTTCGTTCAAATAGTCAACTTGCCACGTTCTTTGCTTATAAGTTTGAGATTGTCGACTAAAGTCAATCGATTTGCTAACTTCTGCAGATTATTCCAATTTCAGGGCATCTAAAAACTTCCATGAATCTTTTGTACAACAGGCCAGCTCGAGTTTATGGCACAGACGAGGGTAAATTTAACTGGTTTCGTACAAAAAATCAACAGAACTTGACAAATGTGTTTGGATGAGAACGATTGGCAAATGTGATATAATTGACCTTACACGAACTATGTGTAAGGTACAAGCTTAAAAACGTGTGTGAAATTATTTGTGTTGGAATTAATTTGTTTGTGTCATATTTCATCAACCCCGAAACTATCAAATACCTGTCAACCTTATACTTTCGAAGAGTTACTAAAGAGTTCATGCTGAGGCACCCTTGCCGAAACACACGAGTTCATCTACAATCAAAATACCAATGACAACGTGACATATATGGACACCCGAATAAAGATCATTGAGTCCCGCGTCGACCACAAACGAAAGCAGTAAACTCTCCTCAACGATAAAAGATGATCATTTTCCTACAGTTCATCCCCTAATAACATTATTTTACTTAATTCATTATTATAACTCACTAATGATGATTATGGAACATTTGTATCATGTAAACTGTACATCATTAATCAGAAAACATTGCCCAACTTTAGGTGTACCACGTACAGCTAGTATTCGCTTTCCTATCTCTATCTCTTACATAGTATCTACGCTTGGTGACCAAAGCAATCTTGTGAATGTCACACCTTGACACTTCCAAAGTCAATCCAATTTTGTGCATCAACATAATTAATATTTATATTGGCAAAAGTTGATATGCTCTCTCATGTCAAGTGAAGTTTATATCTCTTTAATTATAGTTAAAAATAATTCAATGTGAAATATCATTAATAAATACTAATAAAAAAAAGATGGTGCTATCCACACGGTCATTTTTATCGTTTACACTTCTCTGCCTTAATTTTTAACCGTTAGATTGAATAAATTAAAAATAATCAATATAGAAAAATTAATAAAAATGTGTAAAAGGTCAAAAAAGTGACAAAAAATGTAGCAGATTCTGATTGCACACTACTTCAATAAAACCAAGTTCCTTCTCAATTGGTAATTACCTTCGAAGAGGGGAAATATGTGAATACGAAAAATATACAAAGTCGGTTCTACCCCACTCGACGACAAACAGAGAAGGGTATTTTTGGTTGTTCGAGCTTATCCTGATGCAAGCAAATCATTCAATTTTACAACATCCTTGCTCATTTTTTCAAAAACACTCCAGAAACTAACGGTCGTCGTTTAGATCATGCAACTCGGCACAGCGTCTTCTTCCTTCTCTATTCCAGTTTTAACCCCCAACAAATCCCATAATTACACCGCGGTACCCTTCACCTTCAACCACCGCGAACCAAAACCCAGAACCTGTTTCCGACCCATTGGATTCTCATCTTCTTCGCCAACCAGAAATGTCTGGAGGAGAACCCCGCAGCTCAAAACGGCGCCGTCTCCCTCCTCCACGCCGTCGCACCAGAACCGCCGCCCCAGAAACCAGCAAGGTCCGTCGCATTTGGACCACAGCGTCGACATGGACGAGCTCTTGTCATCAATCGGACAGACCCAGAACGAGCTGGAACTGTACTCTCTAATGTCGGCCTACAAAGGCCGGCAGCTGTCGATTCGGTTCATGGTTTCGCTGCTCTCGCGGGAGTCTGATTGGCAGCGGTCACTCGCTATCCTCGATTGGATTAACGAGGAAGCTCTGTACACTCCCTCCGTGTTCGCTTACAATGTTGTGATACGAAACGTGCTTCGCGCCAAGCAGTGGGAGATTGCACACGGACTGTTCGACGAAATGCGCCAGCGAGCGCTGGCACCTGATAGGTACACTTATTCGACGCTGATTACTTCTTTCGGGAAGGCGGGTATGTTTGATTCGGCGCTCTCTTGGCTCCAGAAGATGGAGCAGGACCGTGTGCCCGGCGATCTTGTTCTGTACAGCAACTTGATTGAGCTTTCGCGTAAGTTGTGTGATTATTCCAAGGCAATTTCGATTTTTTCGAGGTTGAAGAGGTCGGGGATTATGCCGGACCTTGTGGCTTACAATTCGATGATCAATGTGTTTGGGAAAGCTAGGTTGTTTAGGGAAGCTCGGCTCCTTATTAAGGAGATGAGGGCGGTTGGTGTTTTGCCAGATACAGTTAGTTATTCGACGCTTTTGAGCATGTACATTGAGAACCAAAAGTTTGTTGAGGCGTTGTCTGTGTTCTCTGAGATGAACGAGGTTAAGTGTCCGCTTGATCTCACGACGTGCAATGTTATGATTGATGTTTACGGGCAGCTCGATATGGTTAAGGAAGCTGACAGGTTGTTTTGGGGCATGAGGAAAATGGGACTTGAACCCAATGTTGTTAGTTACAATACTCTTTTGAGGGTTTATGGCGATGCTGAGCTTTTCGGGGAAGCCATCCATCTTTTTCGATTGATGCAGAGAATGGATATTGAGCAGAACGTTGTCACATACAATACGATGATCAAGATTTATGGGAAGTCACTTGAACACGAAAAAGCTACGAATCTTGTGCAAGAAATGCAGCAGAGAGGGGTTCAGCCAAATGCAATTACATACTCAACGATTATATCTATATGGGGTAAGGCTGGGAAACTGGATCGGGCAGCAATGCTGTTTCAAAAGCTGAGGAGCTCTGGGGTTGAGATTGATCAGGTTCTTTATCAGACCATGATTGTGGCTTATGAGAGAGTAGGCTTGGTTGCTCATGCTAAGCGTTTACTTCATGAGCTCAAGCGCCCAGACAATATCCCTAGGGAGACTGCAATTACGATTCTTGCTAGAGCCGGTCGCATAGAAGAGGCTACATGGGTTTTCCGTCAAGCTTTTGAGGCTGGGGAGGTGAAGGATATATCGGTCTTTGGTTGCATGATTGATCTTTTTTCAAGAAACCGGAAGTACGCGAACTGCATTGAGGTGTTTGAAAAGATGAGAGTGGCAGGATACTTTCCTGCTTCCAATGTGATTGATCTAGTTCTCAATGCTTATGGAAAGTTACGGGAATTTGAGAAGGCAGATGCTGTATACAGTGAGATGCAGGAAGAAGGGTGTGTTTTCTCCGACGAAGTTCACTTCCAGATGCTCAGTCTTTACGGTGCAAGAAAAGATTTTAAGATGGTAGAGTCACTATTTGAGAGGCTGATCTCTGATCCCAACATCAACAAGAAGGAGTTACATCTCGTTGTTGCCAGCATCTACGAAAGATCAAATAGACTTAACGATGCATCCCGGATCATGAACAAGATGAATGAAAGGCGAATTATGACGTCTTGACCCTTCTTAGAAGTCCATAGCATGTGTTAAAAATTTACCCTGTTACTGTTGAATACGTTGTTCTGCCGGTTATTCTGTAGATATTGTACCGCGTGACCATGTGTATAGGCCGCAACACAATGGAACTACCAGTATCCAAATTTTGGACCTGAAATGCTCGATCTGTACACAAATGCAGAATTGTAAGTCGGTTTTCGCCAATTTTTATGTGAAGGAACCATTAAACCAGTCCTTTTGTTCTTATAGATTGCGGATTTTCAACAGCGCTGAAAAAGCAAGTTGAAGTGTCCTGTTTACAGCTTCTACTACTCCATGTTTAAAGAGAAAGAGTTTTGTCTGCAGTCCCGTTACATATTGTACTTGTATTTCGAGGTTGGTAAGCGACCATCGTTTGAAAAAATACCTACGATCTCAATTCTTTCCTTCTACTGACTTGTCGCCCTTTGTTTCCCCTTTTTTTCCAGATTCGACATCGTTAAAAGCTTCTGAGCTTATACTTTTGTTGCAAGTAATGTAACTTGGAAGAGATACCTTGTTCTATATTTAGGGTTTTCCAGCATACATGTTCAAACGTGCATTATACCAAACGCATTGACACCTTTATCTTTTTTTCGTACCATTTTCTGTTGCATTGCTGGATAGGACCAAGCCTCTTTCCGACCCTCCAGTTGGGGAGATTTTAGCATACAACTGCGATATATTAGTCCATTAGACCATCTCTAACCTTTGGATTAAAACTTGAAATTTTTAGCCCATAAACAACTTTTTTGCTCTAACTTTTCTGGTCTAAATTTTTTAGTTTGAGATTATTAAAAATTAAATTTAGGCTAATTTTTTCTTTTAAAGTAATTTTTTAAAATACAAATTATGTACACTATCATAGTATTTTAGCCATTAGATTTAAATTTGGGCCGTTAGATCTTTTTTTTACCGTTAGATTTGATAATATTCGATTTCAGCCGTTAGATTCAATAAAAGGAAAACTAATGAAAATGGCTTGAAAACTTTTAGTTTTACTGATAAGGACAAAATAAAGGATAAAGTGAATAGTATCAGGATTGACTTTTTAGTATAAAAATATGGTTTTTCGTTAAAGTGAACAGCACCGTGGGCTTTTCGTTAAAACTTCCTTCAATAAATCCTGGGAGATATGTTCATGTGGGTGGGGCCCCGCTAGTGGTGCCCACATTATTTTCTGGGCTAAATTCTGGGGGGAATTTGGTTTTTGTTTGGCTTTTAGTTTTTAGCCCACATATTTAGCATGAATTGGGTTAGATTTGGAGGAGGAGGGGGAATAAAACCTAAAAAATAACATTTAGTCCATGATTGAGTTTGGTCTTACGGGACGAATGATATGAAGTGATGGTGATTTTTCCCCTCTTGTGAGCATGTCACTGTCTAAAGAAGATGTAAATGAATAAACCAAGAAGTCTTAGTATTAAAGAGGTTATATATTCCTAGCCATTCATGGTGGACGATAACCTGCTTTCCACAAATGATGCAACTAGTTTTTCACACCTCTTTTAACTTATTTGGGATTTTTGAGAACGTTGGGGGGCCATATTAATTCGTAAGTTTAGTTGGTAGTTGAGGCTTCAGTGGGTCCCGAATTGGAGAAGAATTTACAGGCAACTGTCTGTGTGATGCTAAATTCTTTGGCATTTGGTCAAAATATTTGACCTTGAGTCGTGTAATTGGAATCAAATAAACTCACACAGACATAGTTCATCGGAAAAATCGAGTCTAATACGAGTGAGTTCAATTATTGAGTGTAATATATGAGTTTTGTGAGTTATTGTTACGAATTATGCGTCTTACTACTATTAAACTCACACTATAAAAAAAAAAAAATGTTATAGGAATCTAACTTAAGAATCAGGCTATATATGAGAATTAACTCACATAAACCTATTAAAGAATACTTAATGTGACGGTTTCTTAAATTAATAACACGATGCCGTGTTAATAAGTTAAAACATATAACGGCATGTGATAGGCTTTTAATATTGTCACCTTAACGTCCTAGTTGGATGTTACCACCAAGTCAAGTCGTGACATATCAAATTCGCAATCAACATGCTAAGTGCTTCAAAAATTCATTATTACATTGGAAAGGGTCCTTTTCACTTTTCGTTCTGGTTATTCAAAAGAAGAAAAAGAAAGTTCATAAAAAAAAAAAAATACAAAATTTGACTATTTCTACATGATCTTCTTTGTTAATTATTTTGGCTTAAAAAAATGTCTAAAAATTCACTATTTTTAATCACTACGGGATGGCTCAGTAATTGAGAATAAATTTTAGGCCTGTATTTTCTGTGAGTCTTCTCAGTTCCCAAAAATATGAATTGACGCGATGAAATCACCGGTTAATTCTTTAAAAAAAAAAAAAACAAGATTCACTAATTTTACTCTTTTTAGAGTTTTATTCTGCAGTCTCGATCTCCCAATTCAAAATATTGTTAGAGTTAGGTCACTGAACTCATGAAATATTCTCTTGAAAATAAAAGAATAATTTTTTTTTATTTTATTCTTATATACAATACATTCTGCAATGACGAAGAACATCCACTATATCTTATGCATATTAAACAATAAATATTAATTAAATTTTTTATCAATCCACCTGATCCACCAATACACTATTTTATTTGGCGGTAATGTTGTTTATAGTTTGATTAGTTGCTAATTTGTTGACGTGAGCATTGTGATTAAAAAGTTAAACTTCATAGTCGATGTGCAAAACGGTTTCAATATGACGGAAAATTTTTAGTTGTACCGGGTACACCAAATTTTTTTGGTGTACCCTCACTCATAAAAATTTTTTTGGTGTACAAAAAGTGAGGGTGCACCAAATTTTTTTGGTGCACCCTCACCATTATGAGTGAGGGTACACCAAATTTTTTTGGTGTGCCGGGTACACCGAAAAATCCCTCCAATATGACGCGATGTTTGACACTTTCCCTAAGAGACAGAAATATTCATAGAATTTAAACACAACAACTTACGCAATTGATAACTTGAACTTATCATTTTTATAATTAAAAAAAGGAATTATTATTGGCACTCCAAAATTCTTATTCTACACTCTAAACTTTATATATTTAGAAATAAAAATACACTTATGAAGAGTGGAGAATAAGATTTTTGGAGTGTCAATAATATTTCCCTTCAAAAAGAAGGTCACATTCATCATTTTACTCGAAATTTTAATTTCAGTTTACTGTTGTATACGTCACTTATTTAAAAATAATAAATAAACCAGCCAATAACAACGACACAAGATCAAAAACAACCCAGGCAAAGAATGTAACTTATTGCACAAGGCCCTGTGTTAGGGTCAACATTAATCCCTAGTTAATATTAAGATTAAAAATAAGAATGTAACTTGTGCATTTTTTATTTTCTTAAATTTAAATTCCAATTTGTCTAGTTAATTAGAACAATGTACATTCTTTTCATCTAAATTTGAAATCTTTTGCGTAATTTAGTGAAAATTATCTTATTTTGTTTTAAACATGAATAATTTAAATCCTACTTATAAACAAATAAAAAAAAAACAACAACAACAAGAAAACCGAAAAATGGAATCACATTTTGTTCCAAGTTTGTTTTTCACTTTTCACCCAATGAATCCCATGTTTTTTGTTCAACTCAAAGATAGAAAACGGCACAACGTTTTTTTGACTATTTTCCAACTTAAAAAACACCTGAAAACAAATAACGTTTAACCAACAAGCCATAAATCTCGTGAGGGCTCAGATTTCTTTCCTAATTTAAATCCTTTTCAAATCCACCAAGAAAATGTGTATATATATGGATCCTGAAATTTGTAATTTTGTAGCGTTTAGTCCACCCTACTAGTCCTTCCCCGTCACAATCCTTTAGAATTTAGCCCCTCCTGTCACGGCGGTTGGACAAATTAGTCCGTCCTTAGCCGCCGGAGACCTTTCTTCTGTGCTGTTTCACGATCCTTCCTATAACCCCCTCCATTAACCCAGCTCAGTAGACAAATTAAAGAACAAGTCTTTAGTCACTGATTAAACGAACTAATCACTTCTTTAATCAAATCCTCCTTCTACCCACCAGCAAAAAGATCATTTTCTCTATCATTTTCTTTCCTTTTCCCTCACTTTCCTTCGAACCAAACAGAAAACACATGCTAACAAGCACCCACCTTTCTTCCTTCATCTCGAAAACCCAGCAGGATTAGCCCGTTTTGGAATCTGGGTCGGTGGGATATTTTTGTTTTTTTTGGATTCTGGACCTGAAGTTTGTGAATTTTGAAAAATGAAGAAGCTCAAGAGCTACTACTCGCATCTGAGGCACCACCAAACAATTGAGCTCAAATGGATCTTCCCCTTGGCGATTGGCTCCGTTGTCTCCCTCTTCCTCCTCTTCCTCACCACCCTGACGTCGTCCAACGGCACGCCGCTGCTCCCCTTCTACCGCTCCTTCTCCATCTCCAGCTCCGTCTTCATCGAATCCAAGCTCCACCCGATTCCCGTCTCCACCCTTCCGCCGCCGCCGCGCTTCGCCTACTTCATCTCCGGCTCCATCGGCGATGGCAACATGCTGAAGCGGACCCTCCAGGCCCTCTACCACCCGCACAACCGCTACGTCGTCCACCTGGACCTCGAGTCGCCGCCCGAGGAGCGGATTGATCTGCAGAATTACGTTTCTACCCACCCCGTTTTTGTCAGGTTTGGGAATGTGAAGATGATCAGCAAGGCCAACCTCGTCACTTACAGGGGCCCGACTATGGTGGCCAACACCCTCCACGCGGCCGCCATTTTGCTGAGGGAGGGCGGCGATTGGGATTGGTTCATCAATCTCAGCGCTTCTGATTACCCACTTGTTACTCAGGATGGTGAGTCTAAAATTTGGGACTTTTGCACTGGTTTCGTTTAAAATTTGGGATTTTTGGACTTTTTTTGTGTGTTAAATTTGAAGACATTTGGACTGGTTTCGTTTAAAATTTGGGTTTTTTGGACTTTTTTTGTGTGTTAAATTTGAATAATTAATCACTGGATTTTGATTATTTTGGTTGATTAGATCTGCTGCACACGTTCTCATACTTGCCGCGGGATCTTAATTTCATCGATCATACGAGCAACATTGGATGGAAAGAGTATGCATAACTTCCCCCGCCCTCCCCTTCTCTTTGTTTTTTTTGTTGTCTATTTTATAAAGTTTCTGTTTTTATTTTCGTTTCTTTTTCTGAGTGAGTA